CCTATATGTGCAGAATCAAATATTAAAAATCTAATTACAATCAAATTAATATATCTATTAGTCACAGAGCTGACTTTTTTAATATGTAATATAGGTAGAATTCAACACTACTTGCTACCCAAAAAGTGACTTTAATTTATGTATTTGACTTAGAGATGAATCTGGCTCCATATATATTTAAACAACTGTCAACTTCAACCTACATAATGTCCTATAATTAATGTTCACAGTATTTCATGAGCAGATTGACTTTATTTGCAGTTACTTCGCTTTTCTAGCATTAGTGTAACAAACTGTTCTCCCTCAGTGAAAACAAAACAAAACAAAACAAAACAAAACAGAAAAGAGGTTGAAAATCCAAAGTTTGTATCTCAAGTGATGATCACCTCCAAAACAGGTCATGTGCGTATTAACACAGATACTTCCATTTCTACTCATTTCTTAAGAATTTCTGATGGTAATGAAAATGTAGAATTCTAATGAAGAGATGCAGTCCACCAGAAATAACATTTCTATTCAAATCCAATAATTTTATTTCAAAACCAAGTACAAAACCCTAAGCAAACTCAATATAGTCTAAATTTCCAGTAGTGTATGTGGACTATCTTATTAATCCATATATATTTTGATATAGAAACTTAAATCTCATTGACCAATTGACCATCAGTGAGATTGAGGGCTCTGTAGGAAGATTTTGGTCCTTCAAAATGCAATTGAATGGAAAATGGAAAATCCCACTATTGTAAAAAAAAAAACAAACAAACAAACAAAAAAAAAACTTCTTCGAAAATGTGAGAAGAATTACTGAGACCAACTCAGTAACCGAGCCGTCTGAACAAATTAGGTGCCAGAGTTTTCACAAAATATGCATATTCTCCTCAGCAAATGTTGGGCCAGATTTCTAAAGATATGCACTAAATCTAAATCAACATTGCCAGTCATTGATTTCAGCAAGAATATGTTACCTCGACACTCTTTAATCCTGCCTCAAGTGCAGCTGCTGGCATATAGGAAAACCATATCTGAATTTATGCTAATTTAATGTTACAAGAGGTGGAAGGAATAATAGGAGATATCTAAACTATTCGGGTGTAAATCAGGTGCAGTTGAACTTTGAGCTGAGTTCTCTTCTCATTCTAAATAATCTGACTAAACAGGTTGTTCAACTTGGATTATTATTCTTGACTCAGAAAATCCAGATTTTTCAGAGAAATTATAGTTTATTTCAGGTAAAATTATTAGATACCTGTTTCCTAGCTTATATTTTTATAAGCATAGTGTAGACCTATCAGAGTATCAGAAGGGTGTCCTTTCAATCCAGCAGACCTGTCTGTCTTAATGGCTCGGAGAAGGAAATGGTAGAGATCAAGAGAAAGCGAGCAGCAGCAACAGAAACCTCTACAGATTCTCTTGATAGGGATTTTCTAACTTTGTCATTTAAAAGTCAACTGCCTAAATGTCAGCTAGTCCCCTGGACTCCTTTCTATCCAAAGAGAAGGAGGCACCTCCAGAAAGCTATTCATCTCATCCTAAAGTAGATATCTACAACAGGTTCGGTGAATCACTCTTTTCATTTTTATCCTATGGCTATGAAGGGAATGTGACGAATAAGTTTTAGATGCCTGAATCTGGTAAATTGAATACTGCCCTAGTGTTCTTTTTTCACTCCACTTTGAAAATTCGCTTTTGGATTTTCTTCACCTTTGTTGTATTGCTTTTGGGTCTTGGTTCTGTTTCTTGCCACTGCTGCCGAGCTGTATCATGCCTGACCCAACCTCACTCACTGACCCAAACCAAAGCCCACTGGAAGATTCTCCTTGATATGAATGATCTTTGGATCAGAGTTTAAGGAAAAAGCGGTAGAAAGGCAAAAGCATTCACCAAGATTATTCCAGAACAGCAAGCAAGTCACTTTACTCCAATCTGTGAAGGAAAAGTTCTCCCTTGACACTGCCAATGCATCAGTTAGCCCACTTTGGTCCAGAAGGTCAGCAGTTTTTTGATCTTGTATGTTATGCTGTCACAGATAATTTGACAACTGCATCAAAACTGATCCATATGGCTGCTGTTCACTTCTGGCCAGTAGAAAGGTCAATGAGAGGTGTATCAAAAATTTGTATTGCAAGAGTCTTTCTGAATTCCAAAATTCCCTCTATTATGGAGCTAGTTAAAAGTTTAGAATCATAGAATCATAAAACCACAGAATGGTTTGGATTGGAAGGGACATTAAAGACCACCCAGTTCCAACCCCCCTGCCATGGGCAGGGACACCTCCCACCAGACCAGGTTGCCCAAAGCCCCATCCAGCCCGGCCTTGAACACCTCCAGGGATGGGGCATCCACAGCTTCTCTGGGCAGCCTGTGCCAGTGCCTCACCACCCTCTGAGTGAGGAATTTATTCCAAATATTGAATCTAAACCTACCCTCATTTATTTTAAATCCATTCCCATTTCTCCTATCCCTACACTCCCTGACAAAGAATCCCTCCCCAGCCTTTCTGTAGGCCCTCCTTAGGTACTGGAAGGCCGCTGTAACATCTCTCCGGAGCCTTCTTTTCTCCAGGCTGAACAACTCCAGGTCTTTCAGTCTGTCTTTGTAGGAGAGGAGCTCCAGAACTTTGATCATTGTTGTGGCCCTCCTCTGGACTCAATATAAAAGACCCACAACCATTTTATTAGATTTTAGCAATATTTAAAATATTGCTTTTTAACTGTGTCCTGCTTGTCACTGAGGCAAAATCACATGATTAACTGACTTTTTTCCACTTCTGAAAACAGGATCAGTTTATTTAGCACATGAACAGTCAACTATTTCTAGTATCATACACCAGTACCATGAGAAAGCAATTATAGCGGAGGTTGCATTCAGTGACACTGTATGAAAATCTCTCAATTTTTCTACCCTAAGATTAGTGGAAAAGATTTCTTACTGAAATCAAAAATAGTTTGTTCAGTGCATCAAAATAGCTTGTATTCTTCAGAATTGTGGGTAAGGGAAGCCAGAAAATAAAACAATCTGTTAAATGTGTTATCAACAAAGAGAAGCTGTCAGTCATGGTACTGCACTGTACATTACAAAAATGGGAAAAAAAAATGAACCTGGACTCAAAAGCATCCATTTATTCTGCATATATGAGAAAAACAAAGCTGTTATACAGATATTTTACTGATTTCCTTATAATAACAGAATTCTTCTTGAGAGAGCTGTTGACAGAACAAGAATCTAGAATCTGGAAACTTGTTTGCAAGTTATGATCAGAAGTGGTCCACGCCTGATGAAGTGGATGGGTAAAGATGAAGAAAAGCAACAGTTAAATTCTCAAAAACTCTGGAAGCGTATCTGAGAGCTTCCAACTCTGAAGATTAAGGAGGAAAAAAATAGGAATAGAAAGCACCATTGCATTTAAATTTGCAAACAATTACCGTATAAATAATAAGTCTGTTTAGAAAACCCAACCACAGTTGAAAATCATTTCTAAGCAGACTGGAGGAAAACAATTTGCATTTTCAGTTCAGGTATGTCTGCCTACATATTTATTCATATCTATCTACCTATATGAATCTACGTGAATTAAACACACAAATAAGAACTTCATTAAATGAAACTTTGATGTTTTTTTACATAATTTAATCAAAACCAAAGGTTCTTTATCATTTTCTCACCAGAATGAATAGGATATAGGCACAGTAAAATGTCCCATTATTGGAATTTCATTATTATGCAGTGCCATGCATTTACTATTATAATGTAAAATAACATAAATATTCAAATATCTCTGTCCAATATGGAAATTAACAGAAATATATATATACATTAGCAAAAGGAAGGGAAAATAATAAGTTCCAGAGCTACTCTGTCTTTCTCACAAATGAAAAGTAAATGGATAATTTAAGCCTCAAATCAGATTCCACTTTTCCTACTAGTACTATCTTAATGAACATTTGGAGTTTAAATCTAGTTCAATAATGACATCTTATGACATGTGACCTTTGATCTCCTACATACATAGCTGTTATACTGCTCAGTTTTATTTTCAGTATGAAAGTTAATCATGCCAGTGCAATATCCTCCACTCCATGCCATGTAGTTGAGTTACAAAAGTTTTTTCATGTCTGTTGTTAATAGAGCAGTCCATGTCCTTAATAACAGCTTTGGTCATCCTAGGATAGTTCATCTAGCTTAAATTCCTGTTTCCACATGTGGCCAATAGAAATTGTTTAGAGAAAACACAAACATACAGGACTTGAATCAAGTGATTTCTCTGAGCTATATTTCCGAAGTAACTAGCTGAATTCCTGAGACTACATCTTCAGAAAGCCTTACTTAGACCTTGTCTGGAGAAAGAGAGAGAAGGAAAACAAGAATGAGAATAAACAACACAATGAATGTTCAGCAAGGGGAGCCCACAACAAAGTGGAAAGACTAAGGGCGAGCCTATTTTAGGGTGTCAATGCAGCCAAGGAGAGTGGTTTTGAAGAAAATCATTTGTCACCATTTTGTGTGCTTTGGTTCGTACTGCAGAATGGTCTCTGACCATATTAACTGGATCCTTTTTGGATGAAAATAAATCTGATGGTGACCTCCAGGACTATATCCTCAGCCCTGAAAGAGTATGCAGTCTATAGGACAACACTAGGCTTAGTCTCAAGCATGTAGGCATAGTGTAGGCACTGAGTCCTCAGCAGCAACCATTCTGCTCTACAAATATAGCTAGTGTCTCTTACTACTTCTCTATGAATATGGAGCCAGAAAAGCTCCCAAATGAAACACAGTCTGGTAGAGCCAACCCTCAAAGGTGACAGGATGACCAGAAAGGACTGCAAAAATTGTGCTACAACCCGCAATACCTTTAAGTTGACTGAAACTATGCTTGGGAGCAAGGACCTGAGTTCAACATTGAATTGGGCAGGGGAAGATGTTTTTCGAAAAAGACGTCCAAGAAAATGCCCACTTGACCTTCCCAGAAGCATCATTGTTAAAAAAAATGCAGAAATATATAATATTGATTGACTTTTGCTTTTTATTTCCAGAAATGTTAAAACCTTGACTGGGAGGAATTGGGCACATATGAACTACAGTGAAACAAATCTTACACTTCAAAGATGAAAATACTCATAGCTCATCGCAATCCATCTCCTGGCTTGCAGACCAAGGCCTTCAGGGAGCATGACAAATTTCCATCACCTTTTAAATGCCAATTTTGTGTTTTGACCTATGGCTTCGATAACTGATAAAAATCACGTATAACCATGTAATTCCCCAGTGATTACATTAATGCAGATGCTGAAAAGAATAAGTTACTTGAGTGAAAACCTTCATGAACTTAAGCAAACATAAAAATTTCTTCCAAATCTACCTTTCCCTGATAAAACAGAGGTTAGGCAATACATCACTAGGTACTTTAGAGAAAAGATTACTGCTCGCTGTTGTTTTATGCAAATTTTACTTCATTTAATCACATAAATCCCTTTTTGGTAAGTGATAAGTACATTTATAAAGCTCTTTCAGTTGCAAGGATGAAAAGCACTAGCTAAAAATGCTATCACCATTTTCACTGCAGAGGATTCAGAAGACGTGACTCTTGTAGTATGAGAGGAGCATGAAATAGATAGTCTGAGGCTACAGAACATAGCTTTCAATACAAACATAAAGTCATGACTAAATTTCAACATAAATCTAACGGAATCATTGGCACTGAAAAATTACACACCTACATGTTGCAAGTTACCTGTATTTTCTCTCTCTTAGCAAGGTATAAACTGGAGAAATCCTACCAGACTCCGTTATTCAGAAATACAGCCCTCTTCTCCTAACTTTGGCTAATTTCGCCAAGAAGGGGTCTACACCCACGGTAAACTGCTCCCTGAACTGGGGGTTGTCATGGACCACCTTAATAGCCCCTCAGTTTTAACAGGAATAGTGGTTTTACCAGTCCACGTTGCCCATGCCCCACTAGGAAGGCTATAAAGTTCCATGTGCATTACTGGCATGATTGTTTTGACCTACTTCATTCCTACCAGCATATGATGGCATATTTAATGTACCTCTAAATTTGGAGTAATTTTCATGCAGCACAGATTAAAAAAATATATGAGCAGTAAACTTCAGGCACTTTCACACAGATGGCAATGCAGTGTGAAATGTTATTCCATTTTCCCACACTAAGATAAGAAAGTATAAATGTCAAGTAAACTGGAGGTTTTCCTTTGGGGAAAAAAAATGCAAAAAGTTAGAAACCAGTGCCTAGATGGTGCTCAGCATCCCCCATTTTGTCACTTGTTATACAATCATGTTTTCTGCAAGGCAGTAGTTGATTCACTGGAATGTGTCACTCCAAACCACTATATTTTGCAATCTCTTACTGCCATCTTATGCCATTTTTTGTCACTGCACAACCCATGTCTTACTAAAAATTGTTAAAGAAATGTTTTCTCCCATATACCATTCTTTTCGTAAGCATGTGTCATCCTATCAGCTCATTATCATCTGGCTCTCCTTTCTGTACCCCCAATTCTGCAAGAAAATATTGAACGCTGAATTCTCTTTGAAGTTGATGAGAACCGAGAGACCCCAGCACCTTTAAGGATTGTGTTCGAAAGGGTAATAATAAGCTCTCCCCTTCAAAACTGTTTCTTCAGTTGCTCATTGCTTTTCAAACATTTGGCTTGATTCTCATTTGCACTCCATGTTTCTCATTCCAGTACTGCACCGGGACTACAAAGTAAATGGAGACAGGCCTGTAGTCTTCCCTCTGTAAAGAGATGGCTATAAGTGGTGAAAACAGACTCACAGTATGCATTGTTCATGTAAAAAAATATTTGGAAAGGTTGTTGATTTAAACAGCTTTAGATGCTAGAACAAAATGAGTGAAACACAAGCAAAATTAGTGGTCTATAATATGATCTTTTAAAACAGTGGGTTTGTTTTCTTTGTCTAAAAACTCATTTAATGACTTGGGACCTCTGTGCGTGTTCTTTTTCTTGAATTTCACATTAAAATTCCAGTTTATATGTAAAGGAACACTGCTGGTGTTTCTCCAGTAAAGCATGAAAAATTGTCTTTAAGTATTAAAGACTGTTTTCTTGTTTTCTTGTCCCATCCACTCTAACAGATTTTCCACTGACCAAGCACTATCCCCAGCACTATCCATAAAAAACAATAGATGTTAGTTCTGTTTGAGACATTGATGATTAGAGTTTAGTAAAAAATATATCTTGTGGCTGATGTATTAGAGCAAATAGATTCATTTCTCTCCCATTCTTTTCTCTCATTCGGTTGTGGTTTTGTTCTGGTTGCTGCACTGATGAAAATTAACATAGAGCTCAGCTTCTCAATACAGCTAATGCAAACTAACCTTCCAATTCACAGCAAACCCTGCAATCACATTTTATGCCACATAAAGTCAATTTTCTTCAAATGCATCGACTTTAACCATTCCCAGCTATCGTACTCCCAAAGCACAATGTTGCAAGACGACTAACATTTGTATTGATTTTTCAATATGCACTAGAATAACTTCTTTTAAGCACACTTCAGTGATCACTCTAAATGACAATGCAATCAAATGAGAGCTGCAAAGTATTTCTTTGTTTGCTTCTCCCTAACACTGGAGCAACTTCTGTATCTCACTTAATAACACATTCACAGGAGAATCAACTAATGCATTAGGGACCTTGCCATCTAAAAGCAAAATTATATTCTTCTGTACTAAGATTCCTGAGAGATATTAATGTAAACTAGTTTTACTAAAAAAGGACAAATTGATGTCATGTTCTCCACTCTTAGACATCATTTGGCGCTTGTCACTACTCTTGCTCTGTGGCATACTCCAGTGTGGGGAAATCTAAATAGCTCAAAGTCCCAGTTTTCGGCTGACTTACAAGGAGGAGCGCAGAATCTAACCCTGAAAACTCTCCATACATGCCAGATTGATGTAAACAGAATCGTACGATTAATCTTGCAACTACCTGTTTTCATAAGTATTTGTGTAACTCCCTATGTTGTGTATTTTTAAACATGAGACCTAATTCGCCATTTCAGGTACAAAAGAGGGACCCATTGAAAATGGATATTAGAGTCATTAGGCCATTAAAAATACCGGTTTCTTTCTTTCCTCCTTTCTTTCTTTCTTTCCTCCTTCTTTCTTTCTTTCATCTAAGCCTAGTTAAAGATGTTGTGATCTTACTTGTACAAAAAGACAAAGAACAAAAATTAAGAAAGGTGGTGTGTTAACAAGGCCAACCTCTCTCTCATTGAACACTGGTCTATTGAAAACTGCGGGGGAAGACAGCAGATATGAGGCTCCGCTAATATTAAAAAGGGAAAAAAAAGTCATTTCTTTAACAAAATGTAATATGATACACTGTTTTGTGCTGAAGGAATAGAGATTATTTAGAGAATAATTCAACTCCCAGTAAGGTTCATAGATGTTACAGTACCGAGACCTACAATAAAGTAATTTGCCATTTTGACTTCAATAGCAAGCAAAAACATACTCTAAACCAAAGATGATGCATTTATAAATGCTGAAGGGTATTCTACACATCCCTTAGGTTTATGTAGAGCAAAATGGCCATGGACACCCTATATTAAAAAAAATAATAAATAAAATTGTTTCTTAGTACAGAAAATAATCCTTCCATTGCACTTTTTAGAGTATAATTTCTTGTTTGGAAAAAAGAAAAAGAAGAAAAAAAAATCAGAAAAAAGAAAGAGAGAGAGAAAGAGAGAGAGAAGATATAAAAACAAGTGATGCACAACGCAATTGCATATCACCTGCTTACCAATGCCCAGCCCAGCCCTGAGCAGCAGCGGCTCCTCCAGCCAACCCCCCCAGTTTTATTGCTGAGCAGGACACCTCCTGGTGTGGACCATCCCTTTGGCCAGCCTGGGCCTCCCAGCTCCCGGTGTACCCCAGCCTCCTCACTGTCAGGGCAGCACGAGGAGCAGGAAAGGCCTTGGCTCTGTGTAAGCACTGCTCTGCAGCAACTAAAACATCAGTGTGTTAGCAGCATTATTCTCATCTTAAATTCAAAACGCAGCATCATACCCACTACCGGGAAGAAAATTAACTGTATCCCAGCTGAAACCAGAAAACTAGGTAATCTACTTTTTGTGTTGACTTATTGATTCCCAAATCACATTATACTACTACTACTATTTCAAACCCTAGAAGAATCTTCTCCGCTAACCAAAAACAAGATGAGGAGAAACAGTTCCCTCTACTCCATCTGTTGGCAGTCGCATGGTTTGAGGACAGGTCAGGAGGCTGCCTTATCCAGGTACCCCGGTGGCATGTAACTGCTGTGACAAGCATTTCTACCTGGAAACAACCATACTGCTGCACCAAGAGTCTGCTCTGGGACTCAGGAACACAAAGAAGCCTTAAGGCACCTTCTGACAACATGAACACCACCTGTGTCATGTAGGGTGATACTTGGGGCAGCTGCTCAGGATGGGGGCTGTGGTCCCTTGCAAGGGCTTATAGCTTCAGGGAGAAGAACTCTTGCCAGCAGGCACCTGATCTCCCCTTGTATTACAAAGCACAATGAGGTTCTGCCAGAGACATTGCTTCTAACGGCACAGATAACAATCAGTAAAGAAGAGGAATGTTTGTGCACAAAGTATTATCACTTTGCATGGTTTCACTGCAAACCCCATCATTGGGTACAGTCTGATGCTAGTCTAGGTCTTTGACATCAGGCTTAACTTTTCAGAAGGAACAGGGTTAGAGTTTGCAGGAAAACCTTTTCTGAGGAAGGACTTGAGTGTTAAGACTGTAAACTTCATCCTCCAAGAAATTCCAGGAATGTGGAAGAAATCTATAAAAGGTAGAGGAGAGTTCAGTGGATAGGAATTAGCCTGAAGGCCGCACCCAGGTGCACCCTTGGCAAGTTTGCAGGTGACACCCAGTTGAGTGGTGCAGTTGGCACAACAGAAGGAAGAGATGCCATCCAGAAGGATCTGGACAAGATTGAGAAGTGGGTCCATGTGAAGCTAACGAGGTTCAACAAGGCCAAGTGCAAGGTGCTGCACCTGGGTCGGGGCAATCCCAGACACGAGGACAGGCTGGATGAGGAGGGCAGCTCTGCAGAGAAGCACTTGAGGCTTCTGGTGGACAAAAAGCTTGACATGAGCCAGCTGTGTGTGCTTACAGCCCAGGAGGTCAACTGTGTCCTGGGCTGCATCAACAGAGGAGTGGCCAGCAGGGCAAGGGTGGGGATTGTCCCCCTCTGCTCTGCCCTTGTGAGGCCCCACCTGGAGTGCTGCATCCAGGTCCAGGGCCCCCAGCACAAGAAGGATGTGGGGCTGTTAGAGCGGGTCCAGAGGGCTACAAGGATGATCAGGGGGCTGGAGCACCTCTCCTATGAATAAAGACTGAGAGAGCTCAGGCTGTTTAGCCTGGAGAAGGCTCAGAGAAGACTTCATTACAACTTTTCAATACTTAACGTGGGCTTGTAAAAAAGATGAAAAGCAATTTCTTTTTTTTTTTTTTTTTTTTTCAGGAAGACAATGACAGGACAAGGGGAAATGGTTTTAAACTGAAAGAGGGGAGATTCAGATTAGATATATGGAAGAAGCTCTTTACTCAGAGGGTGGTGAGGCCCTGGCACAGGCTGCCCAGAGAAGCTGTGGATGCCCCATCCCTGGAGGTGCTCAAGGCCAGGCTGGATGGGGCTTTGGGCAACCTGGTCTGGTGGGAGGTGTCCCTGCCCATGGCATTGGGGTTAGAACTAAATGGTCTTTAAGGTCCCTTCCAACCCATGTTGCTCTATGGCTCTATGATTCTATTAAGGTGAAAACCAAATCAACAGGGTTGAGCAGATGGAGTCAAAAGGCACAGGATATAGCTAAACCCCAAGGTCATCAATGGCAAGAATTTGAACCTTAATCACAGAAAATCTGAGGGGTAAAAAATGAAAGTTTGAAAAAAAAAAAAAATTTTTGAGAGAAAATACGTGCCTAATACTGTTTCTAAAGACAACGATCTTTCTAGTTTTCATTCCCCTGGGTACAAGAAAGCACCGACAGTCTCTTGCTGTCAGCTACCCTGGTCAAAATCTCCCACTCCTGCTGCTTCTCAGCCAAACTCATGCATGCAAAATCTCAGCTAATTTCTGAATTGTCACACCCTCTCGTAGTTATTCTTACATCTCTCATTCCCACCTTCTGCAGCTTACCCTTTTAACATGTAATTTAAAGAAAGTATCTGTTATAAGCTGAACATGCACCTTTACCGTTCGTTAGTATATTCATCATTTCAGATCAACAGACATCATTGAAAATAATCTTAAATAAGTAATTTACAAGACCTCTAACAACACCAAACACCAGTTACACATTGCTGCAAATATTTTTAAAAAATGAGGTGCCATGTATTAAAAAAATAATAAAAGGTCAATGACTAGCAGATTCAGAAAGTAGCAGAGTTTTTGCCTTGTCCTCCTCCTGCTATGCAATAGTGACATCTCATTTGAGTTGACAGCTTGGAAATGAAAAACTAAGGAAAGGAAATTTTCAGTCAGTATATAGTCAAATTATGGATTTCCTTGCTGCAGGAGATTCCTGCTACAAATTATAGGGTCAAGTCTAATGGCTGCCTGGGTAATTTTCTGAAAGCTAACATTTGTTGCATTGCATACCTAATTAATCTTACGCTTCAACACATTAAATTGTAACATGCCCCACTGAAAAAGAAGCTGTTTTTTGTCATGGTGCTGTGAGACTAAGATAGGTTCAGTATAGTTAAATAAATAAATGACATGTAACGGAAGGATCATTTTTTATTTTAATTATATATTTTTTTCTAATCCAAGGCTTAGATGGACAATTTTTAAGTATTGATTTCTACAACATCTATTTTCCATTGTGTAGTTTCCATTACATTAACAGAATCGTGAGTGAGCAGACAAATTCCAGGAACAGGACTGATAAAAGCTGTTTGGGGGAAAAAATACAGCCTTGGGCTGACACAGTTAAAGATTGTTGGTAAATCAGACCATAGACATGAGCAAAGAAGTGTGTCTCAGAACTGAGCCTCAGAAAGAAGTCCACCTGGAATAAAAAACAAATAAACAAACAAAAATATATATATACATATATATATGTATATGTATATATAATATATATATGTATATATATACATAGATATATATAAATATATATACATACATATGTAATTTTTTTTGCATTTTGAAGCTGAGACACAGGTCAGCAATCAGTCATGAGGAAGGGAAGTCAAAGAGATGGTGCATCTGAAATTTAGAGACTGCTTGTAGAAAGAGGGAGACTGAATCTCTCAAAATCCGTGTCTCTTCCTTGCTGCTGATTATAATAAAATGTTGAGTCAGTGCATTACTAGCATCACCTGACAAAAAGGATGTAAGCATGAAATAGACAGTTAGGACAGCTAAGGCACTGGAAAGTGAAAAAAATCTCTACCATCAGAGGGGATTTTGAGAACCAGGTAACCAAAAATAAATAAATAAATTAAAAAAAATCAATGACTGCTTGGAAAAGAAGAGACTTGCTAACTTTGAGCCTCCTCTAACTTGTATTTTCTATTCATCTAGGTGGCATACTATTTCATCTAATTTTGAAAACAATCAGACTAATTAATCAATAAATATCTGACAAAGAAGAGTGAGAGGCTCTCCATACCATGAAATCTTTCCATCAAGATTACAAAGTTTTCTAAAAGTTCAGCCAGCACACTTTAAAACTTCTGAAAGTTGTGTGACTTTTTATGGAGGTCAGGACATGGGGATATCTTTTGACCTTAAACTACTGCATTTTGTAATTCTCCCCTGTTGTATGGCTGCCTCCACAAAGCTCCTTTAAAGTGTTTCTGCTGAACATGTAATTGCTGGAAGTGCCAGGTTCCCAGTGGTCAAATTACAGAGTCATATTGCCTTGCTAAAAAGGAGCATTTGTGGGCAGTTAGCATTAAGTTGGCTAGCAGTGCTTATATTTAAGAAGTATACATGTGCATTCATTCACAGCTGTTCTGGATGCCTAAGAAAATATAAAATTATAGACTGGGGAAAATATGGATCATTTCCTCCATAAGTCATGAAAGTTCTAATGACATTTTAAGTAACAACAAGCTGAGAGGAGTATTAAACTTATTAAGCACGTACGTTTTAATTAACAGTTGCTTATAATATTTTAAACTACACTTTAGTCTTCAGATCCTAGAAAATTAATATTTTTAAGTTACCAATTTATATAAATATTGCTTCTTTTGATGCATAATTTTTGGTGCAGATTTGTTGCCCACAACAAATAATTCCAGCCCATTTCCTCACAAATGCAATGCTGAAGACCACTGCAAGGAGTCCTTTCATTTAGCCTTTCTGTAACGTTCATATCCTTGAACACAGCCTGACTTTTTTCTCTTTTAGGCGCTGCTGAATACAGAACACGAGACATTTCAGTGAGATCTGCCACAGAAACTAGATTTAAACCTCATTTCTACTACTCTTAATTTAACTTTCTCTCTGACAGCTCTCTGCATGAGTAATACTGATACATCCCATGATTTAGGGCTTCATTCAGTCGTGACCAAAGACAACCACTGCCTTTTAATTGATTTCAGGAGCAACAGTATTAAGCTCTTTACAGTTTTACAGAAACCGTCAATAATGATGTTATGAGGGCTTTTTGTGTGGAGGGCTTTTGACTAGCAGGCTAAATCTATCAGCTCATTTCGTCAATAGCTAGCTACTGCCAGAGAACAGAAAACAATTTTGTTGTTCCCATTATACGCTAAATTTGACTTCAGAAAATAAAGAAATCTCCACCTTTATTAACAGGACTGATTTAAAGCTAGAAGTCAGATCACATCTGAGCCCAGCCTGAATCCATGGTTTTGCAGGGGCTACCTCTAAAATCACTTCACCTTGTCAAATCAGTATTTAGGTGGAAGACAAGGAGGAAAATAAATGACTGGTGTCTTTTCTGAGCCTGTGAGGTGTTGAGCTGTTTAAAGGAAGGTAAAAAATGTGATGAATTCATTCTTACTTTCCAGCAATGCTGTCTCTTCTCATGCTTGGGCAAAAAATTCTGTTCATAAGAATGGTGTCTTCCAGTTGGCGACATCTAGAGCAGAAACAAATGGGCTTAACCCTTTTTGACCAACCTCCCTTGCTGCAGAAATTATTAATATCCCTTGGGAATTCTGTAGGCAAGCTCAGGAAGCTACTAAGACTGGAGGCATTTCTCTTTCTCAGAGGGTTGTTAAAGGAAAAACTTTGGTTTTGCTTTAAAGTTCTGACTGGTCTCATCAACTGTGAGCCCTATCAGGTTCCCTTCAAGGCTCAGTATGCCTGTCAGTGATTCCCATTGAGAAGGAAAAAAAAAACTCTTTTTCACGGGAGTATAAAAATTCTCCTGAGGACTCACATTTCCTTAGGTAGGAGGTTTCAAAGAAATCATCTAAGTTCTATATTGGTGCCAGCTTATCCAGTAA